GGTTTTTCGCAAACCCAATAGTTGGGGAGGTACCCCTTTTGTCGAAGGTGCTAGTTAGTTATCAGGGACATGGGAGGTACCCGTGAATGATTATGCGACCTCGGGCCCCAAATGGTAGTTGAGAGGTACTCTTTGTCATGGACGACTAACAAATCCTCCTTAGGGATGATGGGAGGAACCCAAAGTCCAGCTATTTAGTATGTTTTTGGTGTGTGTTATGTTTGGTGAGTGTGTGTATGATAAGCGAGAGCATGACTCATTTCAGGCATTGCGTTGCAGTGTTTTGACATTGATGGTCATTGATGAGTTAAATGTAATATATGAGATCCCATGCATGTTCTCGCCCTCTTTTATCAATTCCTTGCGTGCAAGGTATGATATTATCTATTTTATTGGAGGAGATGTCACTTAGACAATCTTTATTGGGCCTTGTGCTCATTCCTTTACATTTTTCAGGTCACGGGAAAGAGGTGGTGGATAATGATCCTCCACGAGCGTATGTGGAACTATGAAGGACTTCCTTTTGCCATTTTTGTATTAGGATGTATATTTTATAAAGCTTGAGCTTAACTTTCATCATTTTGTAATCTAATGTACCTTGGGCCATCCTTTATCATACATGGGCTTGTAAATGTATTTTGAACTCATTTTGATGTCCGAATGTTGTTTCATAATGTACCATTGTTGTTTATGTTTTTTGACAGGTTTGAGGTGTATGAGTTTGTTCTATAACTTGATGAGCAATGTAGGAACCAAGCTAAGGCCAAAATATGGCCTTAGATTCATTTCCCAGGGTCACTACTCGAGCATAGGGGCTTCGTGCTCAAGCACAGGGCCTTTGGCCGATAACTAATTTATGTAGGGTGGCTTGTGCTCGAGCACAAGGGGGGAGCACTGGGCTCGTGAGCTCGAGCACAAACTTTTGTGCTCGAGCATCAGGGTAGTTTTCGGTGGGATCCTGAGAGCAGCTCTCGGGACTTGTCATTGCAGGTCTTAGAGCTCGAGCACAGACTTTTGTGCTCGAGCATAGTGTTGAGTTCGAGCACAAAGTGATCTGACCTTATATTTATGTTAGTTTAAACTTCAAACGCCCATAGCTTCTTCGTTTTAAACTCGAATAGGGTCGTTCTTGAGCCTAACTTGCATGTTTTTGAGCCATCTTTCTCATGGTATTGATCCCATCCCACAATTTTTTATTATATAAAATGATCATTTTACCCTTGTGCGTTTCTTGTCAGGTTAGGACCCGGTTAGCAATCCGGACCTACGGGTTTGGGTCGTTACAAAAGAAGTTCAGAAAATTCAGGTTCGAGAAGGGAAATAAAGCTCAGAATCAGATATGTTATGGTTATGAAAAGTCTGAACACTTCATTGCAAATTGTCTTTCACACAAAAGTCAAAATCAAAAGAGATTAGAGGTTTTTAACAACAAGAACAGATTTGGGAAGAAAACCTTGATTACTGATTGGACTCAATACCTGAAGAGGTCAAAGAATAAGCTCCAGAAGATGAATGCTCGTTCATGGCCCTACATAAAGTCTCTAAAACTCAAAATAAAGCTGAAGAAGGTCAGGATGATGAGGTTCAAGAAATTCTAGCAGAATATGAAAGACTTAATGTGAAATGTAAAGGGTATAATCAATAGGAATAAATTGATTTTTAGAGATTTTTAACCCAGTAATAAAACCATGAACAATTGGCATTACTTTAACGGTTGCAACTGTGAAAGGATGGTCCATTCGTCAACTAGATGTAAAAAAATGCCCTTTTGCATAAATATTAGATACTCTAGTGTAGAGCGACCATTTGGATTTGTTGACCCTAATTTACCATCTCATGTATGCAAACTTCAAAGGAATTCTCTAGGCTCAAATAAGCACCACGGGTATAGTTTTACCAGTTTAACGTTTTCCTTCTAAGAATATGATTTCTACTATAGTTTTGCTTATCCTTCATTATCCATTTACAAGAAAGAGCACCATATTATCATTCTATTATTGTATTTCGATTATATGATACTCACGAAACATTCTGCCCTTTTATTGATGATTTAGTTGCAACCTTAAGTAAAGTGTTCTCTATTAATGATCTAGGGCCACTTTATTACCTTTTTAGGACTTGAAGTGCGTAATTTCTCCAATGACCTTTTTTTTTTTTTTTTTTTTTTTTTCAGAGTCAATATACTATGGATCGAGATATTAAAAAATAGCTATATGCATTGTTGCAAACTTATTGTTACACTAATGGCAACCAAAACTTCAACTGTGAATAGAGGCGATGCATTATTTCATGATGTAACTTAATATTGGAACATTACAATATCATACAATGACTCATCCTGACTTATCATATGTTGTCAATACCGCTTGTCAATTCAAGCAGTCTTGCTCATATTCAGATGGTAAAGAAAATTTTGCACTATGTAAAAAGTACCTACCATAAATATTGAGCTCGGAATTCTTTGCACCGGTAGTTTACGTCTCTATGCATTTTCAAATAAAAGATTGGGCTAGTTGACCATCAACCCGATGCTCGATTATGGGGTTATGTATATTCCTAGGCTCCAATTGTGTTTCATAGAATACTAAGAATCAACCTGCTGTGTGACACGTTTTAGCACAAAAATTGAATAACGCGCCATGACATATACAATAGCTGAAATTACTTGAATCTCATTTATTCTTCGAGCCATTGGAGTTGTTTAAGCAAAACCTTAAATCTTGTTATGTGACAACTTATTTGATGCGCGCACAAAATACTTAGAAATTGATTACCATTTTTTTCAAAAAATGGTGGCTTAATTAATTCTTACTCTCATGTCACAGATATTTTCACAAAGTAGGGGCGAAGCAAGGAATTTAAGGTTGGGGGGCCGGATTTGAACTGTGTAACAAATTTTTTTTAAAAAAAACATATAAATCAATTGTAATATAAATTATTTTTAAATACTAGTCATAGTATATATATGTTGAGAAAATTCAAAAAATGAAAAAAATACAACTTGGACCAAAAAAAATAAAATAAAAATAATAACAATAATAATAATAATAATAATTTGATGTTAGAAGAAAATTATAGAGAAGATATGTAAAGAAATAAGCATTGTTAGAAAATCAAATTTCCTTTATCATTTGTTTTAAATTTTTAAAAATCTAATTTTTTAAAGAAGAGATTTTTAAAGAAGAAAATTAAGTAGATTTCACATTTCAACAACATAATGAATTTTAACTCAATTTTTAACAACAAAAAAAAAATTTCGACAAGATTATTATTGAGTTATTAAATAAGATACAAATAGTTATAAAATTATTTATTTAGAAAGTAATAACTAAAAGTATATAGATGATATTATTATTGTTATTGAGAGTCTCACAATACTATGGTTTATCTTCTTTCCAAATATTCATAGGACTTGTCAATAAAGATTGTTATATAATTTTAGATATTTTTCTTGTAAATGCCATTTTACAAAAATGTTTGACAAAAAATGCTTCATGCATTTTTACCATGAGGCTGGAACATTAATTATTTTATTCAATTTTTTTTTCCCTCTCTTGAATTAATATCATAGATATTGTACGTGTATATATAAATAAAATAACAATGTGTTGAGGTAACAACTATAATAATTATTTACCAAAAAAAAATGACTATAATAATAATGATTGAACTTAAATTTTTATTTCATAATATTTGAGCTTTTAAAAGTATAGTTAAAAGAGTGCAAATTGAAAAATATTTAAATTTCAAGGCGAGTCAAATTAAATTTATTTTCAAACTCTTTATTTTGGGTCAATATATGTGTTTTGAAAAAGATTGGGCGGCCAATTGAAAATTTTAATTAATTTTAGGGACAAAATTTACAAATTAATTAATATTTAAGGGCTATTAATAGAATTTTTAAAAAAATATTAAAAATTTTAATAGATTTAGAAGCAAAATTTAAAATTAACTAACAATTAAGAGGTATTAAAAAAAAATTCCAAAAATTTTGGAGGAGCCATGGTGCCTTCTAGCTCCGCCCATGCCACAAAGTAATGTCCATGGAAACTTTTTTTAATTTGCGCACCAAACTATGTTTGTGGTTCAATCCCATCCCATTTTGAGGTTAGGTTTAGAAGAAGATTATCCAAATAGAGATGAATCAACTGATGATTGGTGGTAAAAAATAAAAAAATAAAAATAAAATAAAAAATCTAATGGCATAATGGTTTCAGAAATGTTTTGAAATAACTTGAAAACATGGTCCTTGTCCTACTTTCAAATTTCTCCTAATTTTTATTTCATGAACTGTATAGTGTATCAATCAGTCACTCTTCTTTTGTTTTATTTTCTTTTTAAAATATATAAATGTTGCTCTCATTACAATTTGTAAAGACAATACCTTTTTAAATCTGGGTTACTATTTATAACCCAAATTCGCTTATATCTCAAATGATTTATCACTACACGTATTCCATTAGAGGTGGGGCCTAAGTCTCGAGAGTATGTAAGATGCCATCCAAACCCTAGAATATGGTCCATTTTAACTCTCTTATGTTCGGATTGGGAGTTCGAAGAGAGACGGATTTCCGTACCGTCACGTCATCAGATGGGCTATAAATGGACGAAAGAGTGTCAGAGAGAGAGAGGGAGGGGCCGAAACCAGAAGAGAAAGTGAAGAGTGGGAGACATGACGGGTACGAGGGTACACAAAAGTCATAATTTCTGTGCTGTGATGCGGCATGGTCACCTGTACGGAAAAGCCGACATAGACATTATAAAAAAATAATAAATAACAAAATATAGAATTTAAGTAATTTTTTTTAGTATATATAAATAGTAATAAAAGTACTTAAATACGAGTACTGACTACTGATTAACACTACTCATTTACTCTTCCAGCTATTTTGCTACCAAACAATTTGATAAGAAATTACGGGCACCCTGTTTGACCATAAAAGGAACTAAATCCCAGTTTCTCTCTCTACTTACATTCTCTCTCTATATCGTTAGTGGCTTTCTATTTCACGGTCTACATCCCATTTTTCTCTCTCTCCGCTTGTGCAATTTGCAATGAGCTAATAAGATTGGGCATCTACTTTGCTTTTCTCTCTAAACTCCTTCTTTTTTCTAAGCTCCAGTGGTGCTTCTACTTCTCTCTCTAGGGTTGGTTTCATTTTCTCATTTTCTTGACTTGAATTGGAAATGAAGCTATTCCATTCTCAATCCTTTTTTTTTTTTTTTTACCCAAAACCCATTTCATTCTTCTCCATCTCTCTCTATATGTATACACTTTTCTACACATATACAGATATATATCTTCTATATATATATATATATATATATATATATATATTTCTCTAAAAATGGTAGGGTGTGTTTTGGTGATGAATTGGGTGATTTTGTGTGTGATTTGCTATTGATTTTTTTGACAGAAAATCAATGGCGAGGCAAAAGATTCAGATCAAGAAGATCGACAACATAACGGCGAGGCAGGTGACCTTTTCGAAGAGAAGAAGAGGGCTTTTCAAGAAGGCTCATGAGCTCTCAACTCTCTGCGATGCCGAGATAGCTCTTATCGTCTTCTCCGCAACCGGGAAGCTCTCTGAGTATTCCAGCTCAAGGTTACTAATACTCTCTCTCCTCATCACACGTTTATTTTATAAGATTATGATCTATCTTCTTTTGGATCTTTTTCTAAAATCAATTTACGAGTGCTTTCTTTATCACTAGCTAAGAGAGGCTACTTAGATCATCATCAGGAAAGAAAAAATAAAAAAATAAAAAAGTCTTGGAAAAAAAAAGACTACTACTATATATAGAAGGTGAAAGACTACTGCTATATATAGAAGGTGTTTCTACTTTCTATGATTAACACATAACAGTTAACACTCAAGCAGACAGAAATCTTAAAGAGGAAGTGGATTTATTTTTATTTTCTCGGAAACTCAAGCTTTCTCGGAGACTAAAAACGAAGAAATTAAATAAAAATAAAAATAAAAAGATAATCACCTAAAAGTACCAAAAGAATCCCTTTGTTTCAGTCTTTCATTAGTTTACTGGGTGAGAGTCAGAAAGAGAGATGCTACAACGATAATGGTCTGGAGTCCGAAACATCTAGGAAAGCTTTAAAAATAAGAGAAAATGTTTGAAACTACACTAGAATAAATGATTTTTTTTTTCCTTGTGCGTGTGAGAGAGAGAGAGAGAGAGAGGAGAGTTTTCTCTGCGGCTAAACTTTCATAAGAATATACGAATCTTGTTGTTGATGTTTAGAGTTGTCATTATGACCCTTTTCTATCAAAGTCGTCAGTTGAAAGCACTATAGCTAGTTATGGGATGCTTATTTCCTTATGTTGCGTTTGATCATGATCATGTACTCAGCTTTTTTCCTTTTTATTATTATTATTTTTTCTTAACTATATATTTGATCATATGCTCATCTTGTTTTTCAAAGCAAGAAAACATAAGTGCTTCTGTTTATATACACACACACCATTACTTGGCTCTTATTTTTAGATTAAATTCAGTCTATCTAGTACTATTCCTCTTTGTACTTGCTGAAAAAATAATATATAAAATAACTAGTCATATTCCAATAGGTTTTGTTTTCTCGACAGTACTAGATCATACTGGTTCAGTATCAACATACCTTTGTTGTCTCAGTGGCTACAAAATGTACCCCAATATGGTAAACAGACTTGCGCACCCACTTTGTACCTACGGGGCGTAAAGCATCGACCTTACTACTTTAGAAGGTGAGGAAACGCTCTAGGTCGTACCTGTACTCTTCAACAATCCAATACTGTATCAAATTAGAATCAAAATCAAACCAATAAAGATTAGTTCAGTCTGATTCTGGACCTTGGTTCTGGATATTAGTACATGTTAATGAAACAGAAGATAATCAAAATGTATCTGACAACCTTGGGTTGGATATATATACACACAATTATAGACTCACACACTACGTATCCACATATCTTTTTGTTTTTGTTTGCTTTTTTATTGCTAAGCAAGTGAAAAGATATTGATCAAGCAAATAAGAAGCCCTTAAATCTTATTACTCACTGGAGCACCAAGCAGCAACAAGAAGGATTGAACTTACAGCTAAAAGAGCCAAAACTCAGTGAATATATGCACCATATGGTAAGCAGCAACAAGGCTATAAACCAATGGCTTTTATTCAGTTTGAACTGCAAGTTCATGGTGGTAGTGCTGGTGATGAATGATGGTGGGAGGAGAAAGGAGAGGCGTGAGAGAATTATGGATTTTAGTTTTAGGGAAAGTCATATATATATGTTTATAATTATTTATATAGTTAACGGTCTGTTATAGTCCAGTTTGATTCGGTCTTAAAGGACTTTAAATCAGAACCAAACTGTGAGTACTCTAATCGAACTGAACCGTACAAAATATGACCAAACTGTATGATTTGCTCTGATTTGGTTCGGCCTTAAAATAAGGACCTCATTTGAAGCTACACACCCCTCTTTGTCACTCCCATCCTTCTTTCTCTTCCCCACCCCTCTGTCTTACCCGGCCCTCACCTTTTCTCGCTTTCAACCCAAAGTTCAATGAGCAATTGATAAACCCTCCTAGTACATAACATAACATATTCATCCATAGAAAGAAATTGTTGGTAGATTAGAGTGAATACATAGGTCCATAGGAAGAAAGTGTTTATTCGTTGCATGCGAAGTGTGTAACAAGTTTGCAAGACCATGTTATGTTATAACAATTGAACCAATTTATTACATATTTTGTTTTGGCAAATTTTTTTTGGATTGTGTAATGTTTTGTCATGAACCATAACAATTGAGGCTTTTAAGCAACATAAGGTGTCCTTGAAAATGGCCTCATGATTGGGAGTTTTGTTTGCACATGGTTTGTCATTACAATTGGGAGTTCTGCAATTAGGAATTCCAAATTTAGGGGTTTTAAACAGATTAGGGTTTACAAATTGGGCTTTTAATTAAATCAACAGAAACTGACTTTCAATTTTATCTCTTCTTGTGTTTTCATTACAAAACTGAGTTTTGTAAATTTAGGGTTTATTGGAGGTTCTATCAAATTAGGGTTTTCATGTGTTTGGGGTTTACAACAAAATATAAATTGCGGATTTTAATCAAATTATGATTAGGAACTTAAATTGGCATTCGATACCTTAACACTTGTTGCACTTTTTATTAAATGTGGACAGTTTTTATGCATATGCTTTGTATGTGCCATGTATATTATATGATGGGATCCATGGATCCGCTCTGATATAATAGCATAGGGTTAAATAATATGTTGTATATGCATCTAGCTTATTGTCCAAATGTTTGTGTGATTTTTTTTTTTTTAGTTTGAAATGGCCTTTGAAAGATTGCATGATTTACTGGCTCATTTTCATAGTCTTCCCTACTCAAATTGGGATGGCATTGAACCTATAATGCACTATTCAATGAAGTAAGGATAGAATGTTGATAGATGGGGATCAAGATTGAATTATAATGTTTCAAATGAATGTTGAGAATGGTCAACTGATATATTTGTAGAGGTTGCACAATTTTTTTTAGCTCTCTTATGATGATGCATCATCTACCAATGTTGTGGAGGGAACAGTCAGCTAAGAATAGAGACAAATGATGTAGACATTGATATTGAGAAAGTAATGCTAGAGGTTTGAGGTATCAATATCAAAAGATGAGAATTAATAGAAGATGAGTTCATTTTTACTGCAGTGATAATGAGGAATGGAAGGGTGTGGATGATGAAGGCGATAGTTGTGGGTCATATATTGATTGGAATTGGAGAGTCCAGATAGCAGTGGGGGTGTTTTGTCCAATTATACTGACAGTGGTAAATTGTCTGATAAGAGATAGGAGCCTGTGATTGTGCACAAATACACCAAGAGAAAAGTGTTCCAAGTATGGTGAAGGGGATGAGGTAGAACTTGAAAAGGGTTTACTATCTGATGATATTAAACAATTTAGATCTATGTTAAAGGATTATATTGTCCAATGGGATTTTAAACTTGTAAGAAATAAAGACAGAAATGGAATGTTACTGCCAACCCAGGCTACAATTGGAGGATGCATTCCTATTGCCTGATGACCACTCACGTATTTGAGAAACTAAGAAAAGGGAGGTTTCTTCTACTTAGATAGCTAGCAAACTAAAATACAAGTTTGGATCTCAACCTGAAATAAATTTGAAGGCTCGGCATGCTGAAGTGAAAGAAAAATTTGGGGTAGAATTTAGTAGGATATATGACACTATATAAGGAAGGAGGCAAGCATTTGAAGAAAACAAAGGAATTAATGCAGTTTCTTATGCAAAGTATGCAGCCACTATGATGAAAACAAATTCTGGTAGTTTGATTAAAATCAAACCTCATTTAGTTGACATCAATAACCAGTCCATGTGAAGAGGATTTCATATCATTTGCAGCAGTGTAATATGGATTCAAACATGGTTGCAGACAATTTATAAATCTAGATAGATGTCATTTGAAAGGTCTTAATGGGAGTGTGTTATTAAGGGATGCGATTGTGAGTAGGATTAAATGGTTTGTTCCCTATTTTTGTTACAGCTTTGGAGTGTGATCATGAACAAAGATGGTTGAGAATGGTTTTTGGAAATCCTGCACAAAATAATTGGTGAGAATTCTAGGACTATGCCTCTGACTTTCATGACTTTTGAGCAAAAGAGTGTAATAGCAGTTGTAGCTGATGTGCTACCGAGTGCACTTAGTTGGAGGTACAGTGGGCACATTTACAATAGTTTTACGTCTAGGGTTCCTAGGCTGAAGTACAGAAAGCATTTCTGACTATACTTGTAGGGTTTTTGAAGATGCAATGAAAGAAAATGAGGCATATTCTAAGGAGCCAAACAACTGGTTGATGTATCATCCATTAGACAATTGAGGTAGACTCAAGTTCGATGATAGGGTTAAGTAACTTAAGTGTATTGCATAGTGACACAATTTGAACAATTAGAACTCCATTTTCATTCCAAAACATGTCTTCAATAACGGAGCTTCTGTAGGGTTAGGATTTGAACATGTAAAATATTGGTGTCTCCCATGCTGACATTTGAAATACAATCTCCCAAGATTTCTACTTAATTTAGATATTTGAATTGCTGCCCTTTTGGCACACCACCATGTCCAATTGTTAACTAATTCATGGATTCAAATCACCATCTATCAAAATGATTCGCTCTGGGCTGTTATATTCATTAATCTAGAAATTAAATATAAATTTAGTGAAAGGATGGTATAAGGTCCTAGCTCCAAAGCTTGAGAAAGAAAGAAAATCGAAAAATGAACTTCTCATTACTTGATATAACTTGATCAAAACACACACTCACAAACTCTATACAAATATGATAACAATCTCTGTGAAGCCTAATTTCGCTGTTTGGAAGCTCAGCATAGCAAATCTCCTCACATGAACCTTAAAGCATAGCAATATTAAATTTACCGGAAAAAAAAAGTAACGGCCCCATAAAATCACAAGTAATATACATATATATAGTTGCAGCTGCAATGTCTATATGTGTGTATATAATATAGTTCCAGTTAAAAATCACTAAGGCTAATTTTGTTTATATAAATTTAGTAAAAAGATAGTAT